TTGTTACAATTATAGGATTGTGTAACCTATTTTACTTTAAACTTCAAATCTGAAAATTTCACAAATTCCGCTGTACACAGGGCCGTGGAGGGGGAAGGTTAGCCAAGTGGTGAAACTCCGTCCGAGGTCGGGTTCGAAGCCCCCCAATGTGTGAAACCCATGTGTACGTGTTTCAGGGGGTCCTTAACCCTTTCCGTAACCTCCAAGAAGACTCGTCCCCGTTTCGATACTTGTTATGTGTAAAGATACGAAAAAAACAATCAAATCGCGCGTAATGAAGGCGGTGGTTTGATAAAAATAATCCCGAGTAATTAAATCGTTTATGACATTATAATTCATTGTTTAAAAAATCAAAGGTTGCGATGTCTTCATGCTAAATTGGGATGCCCTTTCCAATGACTGTTGGCACAGTAGATGTATTTACAATCTGGACATTCTGTAATCCGATTATCGGCTATGGGATGCCCTTTCCAATCACTGTCGGCAGAGTAGATGTATTTACTGTCTAAACATTCTGCAATCAGAATTATCAGAATTATCTAATGACAAACTAATTTCCCGATAAGATTTTAGTTGGTGCCTTAGATCTGTAGCCGTTTTCGCCAAGTCGAGGTTCCTTTATGTCCAAATCGTGCCGTTTTCGCCAGGTGCCGTTTTGCTGTGGTGACGTTTTAGCCTGAATCCTTTTATTCTGACATGTTTGGGTTTTTTTGCTCATTCTTATATATCTCAACAAATTCATTTAAAGTTCCACTTGGTGTATGACAGCAAGGTAACGCGAATGTTCAGTTTGAGAAATATTTTAAAGTCATTTTTGAGTATCTGTTTTGGGATTTAATGTAGAAGTTTTAAAATAAAACAAATCGCATTTGTGATTATTCAACCCTATTTAGAAATACAACTAGAAACATAAGGTGAACAGCTGGTAATAATTACGTCATAATATGTCTTTAACAAATATGTTTTTCTCCGTCTTTTAGTTGTATCAAAGAGGTTTAATTCTTGAGAGTAAATAAGCAAACAGAAAAACAGCGATACAATGTGTGCTTGGGTGATATTAAGTACCATTGGAATGAAACAGGAATAGAGTTATATTTCCTGTTTACAGTAGTTCTGATGTTCATGCGCCAATATGAAATCCTTCCAGAGGGACACGAGTGGCTATTCGGTTTGTCTCGTAGGAACACCAGTTGTCACGAATGGGAAAAGTACTACCCTGTGTCTTCCTTCCCATATGGAATAATAAATCTGTGTCTTCATGTTGCTGACGATCTACAACATTACAATGCGAAACAACTTCAAACCTAGCTCGTGATGAAAGCATTTTTAGCTGACATCTGCACTGATACAGGTCAAAGACTGCGTGGAACCCACACGCACGGGAATGGGACTGAGATACCACATAATTGGGCACAGCAGAATTCTGGCATGTCCAAGGGATGTAACTCTGTTCATCGAATCGCGGTGTTTCACACGATTGGTCCACCCACGGCCAATCAAAACTACTGACAGTAATAACAAAGTTTGCTAGTGGAGAGTCTTTGCAAGTCTTTTAACGATCTGGTTGTCTGTCGGCAATCTGAAATGTTTTACTGCGTAACGGCAACTATGAGAGTGATTTCAGTATCTCCCTTGCACAACAAATTTGAACCAACAAATAGCAGATCTTTACAGGTGAAATAGCATAATCCTCCACATGAAAAAGTGGTGCCTTCGACTGCTCGGTAAGTCAGTCTTACCGTCTGCTTCGTCAGCCCCTTCATTAAGAATATACTTTAGAATAAGATTTGGTCACACCTTTTACTGTGATCCTCACTAATATTGACAAACTGTATTGATAACAAGTTCTTCATTTCGTCAGTGCGACGTTTCCGTACAAATTCTTTCAACTTAACTGTGAAACATTACTGCTAGACAATGGTAAAAGAATCTGTATTAGAAGTCAGATGAAAGATGTTGTTATCCAAAACGTGTGTCTACATTGTAGTTCCCACCTTCAGAAATGCCACTCAAAGAAGAGATCTCATCAGAATTCAATACACTTGGTCGAGGGTTAGGTTTGCAATTCTTGACACATCCACATTGTTACATGTAATCAATGTTCATTTCCCCTTCCATGTCTTGGCTTTTTGCCTCTCCCCACATTCTGTCCACGCCAAGTCCCTTCCATACATCGTTACCCACTGAACTGTATCACCATTCTCTTAGAATCAATTTCATGGACCTATTTTCAAACACATTCTAAAATCAAATTACATTATTCTTTAAAGACTGCAGCAACTCGTCTTATCACCTGCTGTCTTAAATAGAACTGTGGACACATGTAATGATGTCTCACGGACACGTCTCTATAATTGCGGGCAGGAAACACATCTTAACGAAACATTCACTGGAAACCAGGCAACTGGCCCAATATAAAGATCAGGCTCAATGAAACTAGAACCTAGGCTTGATTGTGGGTCCATGTTAACAGTCTTTCCGGTGAGTATTTTAGTTGACTGTTGAATCCCAACATGTGACCTGGATAAGATCTATGCAAAGTTAGCGACAAGGAAAATCACTTTTGACAGGAAGTTTTGAAGTCTTGTCTCTGGCCGAGCGGTTGATATGGTAGAGTTGCTCGGTGGCCGAGTTCCTGGCTGGTTGAGTTAGTGTGTGGGTGGGTGGTTGAGAGGTTGAGTAGTTGGATGGTTAAGTGAGTGGTTGGTTGAGTCAGTTTTTGGGTGGTTGAGTGGTTAACTAGTTGGATAGTTGACTGAGTGATTGTTCGGTTGAATGGTTGGTTGAGTGATTGACAGGTCTAAAATCAAGGTTGAACTGCCTTGAATCCATGAAAATACTTTTCAGGCATACCGAAAACAGCTGTATTGATCATCATTGAAACAACATGCAACAACTGTTCCTTCTGTATGGCCGTGGATGACAAATAGTAGATGGCCAGTGATATGTTTTGTAAATTTCGTCATTTATTTGCTAAGTCAAAATATACCTTCGACGGTGCCATACACATATCTTTTAAACTGCAGTCAATTTGTAAGGATCCATGGGGACTTCGATCAGCAACCCAGCAACATAATTTGTGATGAGGCGATTAACAGACCAGGTGTTCTGGAGCGGTGCTCACAATGTCATTCACTGGATTATCTGGTCCAGTCACATAGCATCTCTGACACATGGACAAGCGGTGGATAGAGGTTAAATGTTATGTCCACTTCGCACTTGCAACGCCACACTGTCCCTCTAACACATGGAAAGTCGGTGGATAGAGGTTAAATGTAATGTTCACTTCAAAATTGCAACGCCACATTCTCCCTTTATCACATGGATAGTTGGTGGATAGAGGTTGAATGCAATGTTCACTTCGCAGTTGCAACGTCACACTGTCCCTCTAACACATGGAAAGTCGGTGGATAGAGGTTAAATGTAATGTTCACTTCGCAATTGCAACGTCACACTGTCCCTCTAACACATGGATAGTCGGTTGATAGAGCTTAAATGTAATGTTCACTTCGCACTTGCAACGTCTCACTGTCCCTCTAACACATGGATAGTCGGTGGATAGAGGTTAAATGTTATGTTCACTTCACAGTTGCAACGTCTCACTGTCCCTCTAACAGATGGACAGTCGGTGGATAGAGGTTAAATGTAACGTTCACTTCGCACTTGCAACGTCACACTGTCCCTCTAACACATGGAAAGTCGGTGGATAGAGGTTAAATGTAACGTTCACTTCGCACTTGCAACGTCACACTGTCTCTTTATCACATGGATAGTTGGTGGATAGAGGTTAAATATAATATTCACTTCGCAGTTGCAACGTCTCACTGTCCCTCTAACACATGGAAAGTCGGTGGATAGAGGTTAAATGTAATGTTCACTTCAAAATTGCAACGCCACATTCTCCCTTTATCACATGGATAGTTGGTGGATAGAGGTTAAATGTAACGTTCACTTCGCACTTGCAACGTCACACTGTCCCTCTAACACATGGATAGTCGGTGGATAGAGGTTAAATGTAATGTTCACTTCGCACTTGCAACGTCACACTGCCCCTCTAACACATGGATAGTCGACGGATGAAGGTTAAATGTAATGTTCACTTCGCACTTGCAACGTCACACTGTCCCTCTAACACATGGATAGTCGGTGGATAGAGTTTAAGTCATACTGTCCCTTTATCATAGTCAAGTAATGTCTACACTGCGCCTTAATGGCTTCAAAGTTGTATGATCCCCAGGGAGTTGGGATTGAAAAATACGATTGCCATTGAGATTGACATCCAATGATTAAGGGAAAAACAAAGTGCCTTTGAGCAGCTGAGCTGGATATTGGCGCTATACAAAGATTAGTATGTTACTGAATCTTGAATCTTCAGGATACCCTGACCGAACCGGGTTTTACGGCTCCTAATAAACACAGCTCTGCACAATGTACTGCCATACCAAGATCACAGGGATACACATGACCCTGATCACCATTAACCCTATAGCAAACGATGATAAGGAAACACAATTTCAGCTCCCGATCCCAATAATAGATACAAAACACTGCTAGACTGCACTTGTAAACATGGAAACAAGTAGTTGTGTGTGACTACTCGCAGACACACTTTGGGAACAGAGCAGTGCCTTTGACAGGCTATTGAGAATAGCCGTTTAACAGGAAGTACTTGATCTCGTTTATTGGAAACGCGCTGATGCAGTACATATAATTGGAAACGCGTTGATCGAGAAGTAGTAAATCATATCACACGGAACACAAATCTTGTAAATTCATCTTCACACACACAAAAGTCTCAGTTACTGCTGGAGAAAGCAGTACTAGTACTACTCACATGGAATAAAACATTTTCTCTGGGCTGCTCGAAATGGCGAGAAAGTTTGCATTTACATAGACTAATCGAAGTTATATCCACGAAATATGAATATCTATAACGATGAAAAATAATTCAAGATACAAAGAACAGGCTTGAGATCTGACATCAATTAAGGTAAAGGTGATTAGCACTGTAGCAAATGTCACATACGCGGAACTGTTCACAATGACAGAGTATCAGTCCATCTTGATGAACCTAATATACAAATGGATTAATTTTAGAAATTTAAGTAATTTCACAATAGCGTAGTATCCCTATGTACACATTATGCTTTGCATTCTAAGTTTAAGGTAAAGATGGCATACACCAATACCAGTAAGTGTGTCTTCATTGATTCATCACTGCTTCATTAGATATACTCAGATACACAGTATATTAGATATACTCAGACACACGGTATATTAGATAGATATACTTAGTCACACAGTATATTAGATATACTTAGTCACGCCATACATGAGATATACTCATTCATACTATACAGTCAGAAATACGCATTCACACTTTATATTAGATATACTCAGACACACTGTACATTAGATATACTCAGACACACAGTACATTACATGTGATGATTTGTCAAGACCAGCTCAGTCAATCTGCAGTCAGGAGGTCGTTGTATATGTAGTTGATTGTAATATTTACAGATGCAATGATCACTTGAGAAAGAATCAAAGGTCTATACTGTGTTACTGAAACTGAATACTTTGATTTCACCTGAAAGGTAATTAGAAATATAAACACGGCCACGTCCATCTACACAAACTCCGTGCGGGTGCAAGACCCAATCATCGTTAGTGAGTATGTTTCTGACAAACTGTCCTGACTCAGTCAGATGAACAACAGTATCTTGATAGTAGTCAGTAACCAGGATGTCACCTGTGCTGGTACTTGTGATACCACGTGGAAGTCCTAGTGTTGTGTTTTCTGTTGTAGGGTAGGTGAACCCAAAGTCACCTTCAGCTGTCAGGCACAGGACACGCTTCGAACAGTTATCCGACACAAGGATGTTTCCTGTTCTTGTTGTACAAAGAAAGTCAGGAGAATCTATGATTTCCTTTCCACTATCTATAGGTTTAATTGACTTCAGGAAGTTTCCTCTCATGTCCAGAATATCCACACATCTACCAGAACCTGCTGCTAGTGTTGATGGTGTCAGAGACGTTATACCCCTGTACTGTTTGCTGGTCTTGATGTTCGACAGCAGCACCAGGTCAGGGTTCACGTCAACTGTTACCATCTGTCTGGTATTCGGCACAGTGACAGCCACCTGGTTGTGTTTCAGCCTTGTTATACCCCACGGAGAACCTCCCAGGCTGAGCTTGCTGTGACGTCGTTGTTTGTTCCTGGTGTAGAAGGACTTCACACTGTTGTTGTCGTAGTCTGTTACAACCACTGTGTCTGTACCATTCACCGGCAATACTTTTACGTCAGTAGGGTATACCGTATTCCGGTCTCCTGCTACCTCAACGCTAATGGTGCCCTGTAACACAGGAACAGCCTTCAGGTCCAGCACGTTACTGGTGTCCACCATTCCGTCATACTGGACATCTATCTCACCCAGCTGTAGATCGTCCAGAGCTCTACTCAGCATGTCTTCGTTCTGTCTGAACATGATCCTGGCTATTCTACCCCTCTTCTTCACGTCTACGTCTCCGACAGCATCCACATCAGCGGCCTCACATCCCTGATACATCTCATACACGTCCATGTCACACTCAGACTGTAGAGCCTGGTCTATCAGCTCAGCCTGCTGTCGGTACATGTGTACTGATATTTCAACCGACTTTAGGTCGGCTGTCAGTTGTTCAATGTGCTTTTCAGAAACTTCTTTGAGTTCATCTAGAAGTTTATTTTCCATGAGAGTTATCTTTTCTCTCGCGTTGTTACCAAAAGACTTTATGTCATGTTCCATTCTTGCATATCTTTTTCAGAAACGACGTTCACTTTAACAGCATGAACTTTTGCTTCCATTTGGAGTTGCTTCTTCGAAATAGTTTCCTTCTTATTCAACAGCTGGGACGTCAATGCAGGTAATTCCGACTCCAGTGTGACAACTGATTCACATTTCCTGTGATAGATAACACAACAGGTGTGACAGGTGACTTTCTTGCAATCTTTGCACAGGAATTTGATGTTTTCATCCTTGTGTTCTTTACACTTAATGTTTCGTTTCCTGGGGATAATGGCCTCACTAGTCAGGGCAGTTGTATCGTGATGACGAGTGGATGAGATGCGACTGTGCACCCTAGCACATACATCACACAGGGCGTCATCGCATACCGAGCACCACACAGTCGCTGGAGTTGTCTCCCCTTCGCGATGACAGCACGTGCAGTTCTTTGTATCTGGACAAAAGAAACAAGGTTGAATAAAAAGCATTCAGCATCGTATCATCGAGTGTTTGTTCTCACGTCTGTTTAAGGCCGGTAGGCTAGCCTTGTAGTCAAAGCGTTCGATCGTCACGCCGAAAATCCGGGTTCGATTTCCCAGATGGACACAATGTGTGACACCTGTTTCTGGTTTCCCCGCCGTGATATTGCTGTAATTTTGCCAAAGGCGGCATAAAACTAAACTCACCCACTCTATTTGTTGTGGTTTATGAATTGTTGTTACTAGTAATTTTAGTGTAAGCTACCTCACAACAGATATCTGCAAGACTGACTTCAGATTTCGGGAACTTGAATGACTAGTTTGACATAATAAAAAAATGAGTTATCATTTGAACCCTAAATACCCTACCTTTTAACTTGAAACAAGATATTTGGAAAACAGCTATGCAGGACCACTAAATTCATGAGTATTGTGGGGGTACAAATTGAAATTGGTATCAGTTACTAAATAATGAATATATTTGCAATTACAATAAGGTTTAGATCAGTCATTTTCGCATTGAGTAAGGGAGTGTGTTGCCTTCGCAAAGGTTAAGAGTCGAACATTACAAACTTTATACAACGACCACAGACGAATATTTATTTTACACGTGTTTATCCTTCCTTTCTATTGAGTGAGGTGTAAGACACATCCAATAGACCATCGTGCATTCCAGTACCAGTTTACCATTGATCCTTACCTTTACATCCGGGGCCAAAAGAGTCCAGGAGTCCCCGGATGACAAAGCTCGGTTTGACGTCATCCGCCCACTCATCTATTGATCTTTCAGGGGAGGTCACTTTCGTCATCTTACTGCAGAAAGGGCACAGCAGAGACTTGGCATTGATGGCTTCCGGTTTGGTTTTGGTATAGTTGACGACACATTTCCGACAGAATGTGTGATAACAGACAAGGGTGCAGGGATTGTCAAATACTTCTGTACATATGGTGCATGTGAGGAAATGTTCCTGCAGTTTCTGAGACGTCGACATCTGCAAAATGAAGATGCATTAAATTTACAATGTTATTACGCATTGCATGCTGCCGGGACTATTTGCACTAGGTAATATGGCCAAAGTAACGGTTGCGTGTAATAGCATTTATACAAAATAAATGATATGTTGGTTGAAGTTATTTGGACCCTTTTTCATACCCCCTTGTTCATTTAAAAAAAATCAAATTAAACAGACTATTGCTGACAATCATAAATGAAATGTATTCATACGCGTGACCTCTGTTATGATGACGTAATGCACTCGTGCTGTAAATTGAATTCTGATGTATTATTGTGCTAATGTTGGATGGGTAATAAATGAACATTTAACGAATGAATAAGGTACTATACGGGACACCATTTAGTATGCTCTCTCTATATATAAACGATAGTAAGTGTTCATTTCAAATTTTTGGACATACCAGCGCAACCACAGCCGATAAGCTTCACAGATATATGTGCGTGCGTGCGTGCGTGCGTGCGTGCGTGCGTGCGTGCGTGCAAGTGTGTTAGTGTATGTGTTCTGGAGAAAGACTGAAAATTATAAGATCAAGGTCTTCTGCAATCAATATTTTGTATGCCCACCCTGGGAGACAAGAACAACCTGTTGGGGTGTCGTCTTGTGCATATACCCCAGGTCACTAATCAGTCAAAGTTAAGCAATGTTGTACACAGAGAGTCCTTGGATGGTTGACAGGTTTGTTTTCAGCTTGCGTGATCTCGGCACTGTGATGAAGTGACGAAGATGAAACACATTTGTTTCTGCCATTGTGTAAACTTGGTGTGTAAACAATCACACTGCTTCTGCCAACTACGTGGACGTCCAGCTTACGTTTGACGCAAAACGCTAATGAAGACGACAACACACCCGTCATTTACACCAAGAAGCAACAATGACTCGTGCACTTGGCACATAAAGCGCTGACTTCGATATCATCACTCATTTCCATAACGAAAGTAGCTAGGCTGGTGTCAACTGCTTGCGCCAACAAACACGACTCCAGCTATGAATATTTACTGTCTAAATATTTTATTAAATGTAGAAATGTAGTGGATGACCAATAGTTTTCCATCTTGAGTCAATGTACCGTTATGTCCACAGACCGAGTCACCTGAGATCGATATATCCGTACATAGTGAAAGTAGACCACGGAGCACAGAGGGAAGGACTCGAATTCTAAGACCATTATCACCGTATTTCTTCACACCTTGTCGTTAGATCACCGCGTAATTACGTCGCTATACCTGGTCATTGTTAGAATGGTAGTGTACGTGAAGTCTGGCAAATACCGCCTGCACGTTTACTCAACTTCATTTCCTCGTTCCAGCCAGTCGGTGAAGGGTGAGGTTGAGCCCCATAATAAACGGCTACTGGTCAGCAACGACACACAACACAACGTAAATACACCCTCCGAGAAGACACGGAGCGGGGGTCTTGGTTCACGTGTCAAGTATACAACACGATAAAGCACATATACTTCTGTCATTGCTTACGTTCATTTATCTCTCAGTCATTTCCTCCCAATGTACGACTTTTGAAACTAATTTCACTTATATTTTCCTAGTCTGTCTCACAGTCCCTGAACCACATTATTTTCCCTACAGCCTAGCCTTCCCTGCAGTGCTAAAGCCCTACTTGAAGCAAGCCCAGATTTCCCCAGGTTCTGAATCTCTGGTCTAACTGGGGCGCCCTTTCAATTTATAATAGGTTTGTTTGTTACAATCAAAAAATTATATCTATAAGAGACTAAGCATTAGTCTAATTTTTTCCAAAATGTAGACTTTGATACGTTTACTTTTAATCATATACTTTGTCTTTAGTAAGTCTTTTAAAAAGGCCTTTCGTATCACCAGAGTCGCGTTATACAGATGCATTTACGTTAATTGTCGCCTGTATAATGTACTGACCAAGATTGCATAACTCATGTCGATAACGAAAGTAGGCTGTAAGAGATTGCCCAACAAATGCAGTGCCACTTGACACTATACAACCATACTGTCTCAAAACTGTGTTGTGTGTAGATATGATAGGCATAGTAATTAACTGACGTCAGTGCATCGGTAAGTTCACACACGAACTTGTGTGAGATGAGGGTAGTCGGTTCCTTGTACATGACGATAGTAGACACGTCAACACAGCAGTGGTAAGGTCACACACAGGAAACATAGCACCATGTCTGAATTACCACACACAGGAAACATAGCACCATGGCTGAAATACCACACACAGGGAACATAACACCATGGCTGAATTACCACACACAGGAAACATAACACCATGGCTGAATTGGGGCGGTGGGGTAGCCTATTGGTTAAGGCGTTCGCTCGTCACGCCAAAGACCCGGGTTCGATTCCCCACATGGGTACAATGTGTGAAGCCCAATTCTGGTGCCCCCCGCCGTGATGTTGCTGGAATATTGCTAAAAGCGGCATAAAACCATACTCAGTCAGTCAGTCATGGTTGAATTACCACACACAGGAAACATAACACAATGGCTGAATTCCCACACAGGAAACATAACACAATGGCTGAATTATCACAAACAGGAAACATAACACGATGTCTGAATTACCACACACAGGAAACAAAGCACCATGGCTGAATTACCACACATAGGAAACATAACACCATGGCTGGATTACCACACACAGGAAATATAGCATCATGGCTGAATTACCATACAGAGGAAAGAAAACCACAGTTATAGTTATAGTTATATTTTTTTATGATAACGTGCTAGTTTTAAATATTAGAGCTATGGTACTCTAGAGGTTTTACTATCCTTCGATGGCAGATTTTTATGTTCTAAATTTATTGATTTTATTGTTGATATAAATTATATTGTTCTCGTCACGAAATGGCTGAAGAATTACCACAGACAGGAAACATAACACTATGGCTGAATTACCACACATAGGAAACATAACACCATGGCTGGATTACGACACATGGGAAACATAGCACCATGACTGAATTACTATACACAGGAAACATAACACCTTGGCTGAATTACCACACATGGAAATACCATACACAGGAAACATAACACCTTGGGTGAATTACCACACACATGAAGCATAGCACTATGGCTGAATTACCACACACAGGAAACATAACACCATAGCTGAATTACCAATTACAGGAAACATAACACCATGGCTGAATTACCACACACAGGAAGCATAACACCATGGCTGAATTACCACACACAGGAAACATAACACCATGGCAGAAATAGTAGACTATTACCACCGAATTACTTCACACCTTGTCCATCAATCACAGAGTAGTGAATTGACTATAACCCAACATTGGAAGATTTGTAGTGTAAGTGAAGTCTGGCAAATATCCCCAACACGCCCACTTACCTTCACGTGCTCGTTCCATACAGGTGATGTAGATAGAGATTGTACCACGTGACACATATCTACTGATTAGTGACAAGGGTCGGAGATATCACGGGAATAACATATAACGCACACACAGTTTCTTCGCACCTCTTTCATTCCGCGTTTCGTGTCTTTCGATTATAGGATCATACAAACTGATTTCAAAACATTCTCTGGCCGTCACGCCAGAGGTCGGATTCGGAGCTCAACATGGGTACAATGTGCGAAGCTAATTTCTGGTGTGTACAGAGGTGATCTGTTTGTGGTGCCTGATATCTGTGTCTGCCTCTTTATCTTGTTGACGATTCAGTTGCTGGTGATCTATAGCCCGTTTATATATTGTAGTTTTGTCTATAGTTATATTTTTTTATGATAACGTACTAGTTTTAAATATTAGAGCTATGGTACTCTAAAAGTTTTACTGTCCTTCGATGGCAGATTTTTATGTTCTAAATTTATTGATTTTATTGTTAATATAAATTATATTGTTCTCGTCACGAAATGGCTGAAGTATTACCGATGTGACGTTAAACTTAACTCACTCACTCACTCTTGTTGACGATCTGCAATATGACAGAGCGAAACGACTTCAAACATGGTTCGTGATCAAAGAATGTTTTAGTTGATATCTGCACTGATACAGGTCCAAGACAGGGTGAAACCCACACGCACGGGAATGGTGCTGAGATACCTCATAATTGGACACAGCAAAATCCTGGCATGCCCAAGGGATGCAACTCTGCGAATAGCGGTGCTTCACATGATTGGTCCACCCACGGCCAATCAAAAGTAGTAACATAGTGTGCAAGTGGAGAATGTCTTTGGGCAAGTTGATTCTTTGTTGACAACAAAAATGTTTTTTTTTTTTTTTTTTTTTTTGTGTTTTTGTGTGTGTAATGGCAACTATGACAGTAATGTCACTGTCTCTCTTGAACCACAAATTTGAACCAACAAGCACGGGGTTTCAGTCGACTATGTACTCTTCAGAGTTGTGTCCCATTGTCACACCAGACGCTAGAGATTGTGGGTTCGAATCTCACTTTTCCCCAGTTAAGTTTCTGTATGTGATAGTGCCATACACGTGTTCCTTGGTTTCACAGTCTGAGATCTGCATTACCTCGGGATTTCCTACAACTACGTCATAACTGTAACTAGATTACTGTTGAAACAACCGTAACACCAAAACTCACTCACTCTCTCACCAAAATACATTGTACATGAACATGAAGGGAGGATTCAGAATTACTTTCTTAGATCAGATTTATATCATCAAATTTTAATATTCATCGTTCTTTCTTTCCCTAGATGGTACGGGGAATAAATTCCTATTGGAAATCGAGTTATTTGACATATTTTGTGTAACTTCTATGCATGAGAAAAACACCTTTTCTTTGAGATATATCCAAGACAGAAATACCTTTGTATTTGCACATTTTGATTTACTTTGGTCATAGCTATCCATCATGAAAACTATCTGACCCCCCCGTGTCACCAGACTTGTTCTTGAATGTTGATTACATATAACACAATTATAAATCTAAAATCTTTCCATGTTTTGGGCATGTTTAATAGAGCTAGTAATATCAGGAATGGTGTCAAAGTGTCACT